TTTTTTTTTTTTTTTTTTTTTTTTTTTTTTTTTTGGAGGCAGGGTCTCTCCTTGGACACGAAGCCTGAAGTCTAAGCTAGGCTGGCTGAGCAGCAAGCCCAGAGCTCGGGTCCAGGCTCACAATGTTGCTGTTCCTGGCTTTCATGTGGACTCTGGTGCTCAGAACTCAGGTCTTCATGCTTGCACAGCAAGTACTTTACACACTGAGCTATCTCCCTGGCCCCAGATCTTGTGGGTTCGTTGTTGTTGTCGTCGTTGTTTGGTTTTTCAAGGGTTTCTCTGGCTGTCCTGGAACTCACTCTGTAGACCAGGCTGGCCTCGAACTCAGAGATCCCTCTTCCTCTACCTCCCCAATGCTGGGATTAAAGGCATCTACCGCACCCAACAATTGTTTACAAAGAAACGAAGGAAAGAAAGAAAGAAAGAAAGAAAGAAAGAAAGAAAGAAAGAAAGAAAGAAAGAAAGAAAGAAAGAAAGAAAGAAAGAAAGAAAGAAAGAAAGAAAGAAAGAAAGAAAGAAAGAACTTAAAAAGCTTTGGATTCAGTTCCTGGCACTACAAACAAAAAGGAGAGCATCGTCAAGAATGACAGAAAAGACTTGAGATACATAACTTGCACTTACCTTTCAAGATTTCTTCTTTTTGCCCTGCGAAGAGCTACGATTTCATATTTTGCAAGCATTTCTAAGGAAAACGGATCAATGCCCTGTGTTCAAGTTAACACAAAAGTTAAGTGGTTTTTGTTCTACTCTAGGCAAGTGCTCTACTACTGAGCTCTACTCTTAACCTTAAAAAATTTAAACCAGTATTTCTCACGCTTTTTTTTTTTTTTTTGTCTCAGCACCACTTCACATTCTTAAAAAACAAGAAGAGTCAAGGCAGGGCATGATGGCACACACCTGTAATGCCAGTGCTCAGGAGGCTGAAGTAAGGAAGATCTAAAGTTCCAGGCCAAAAGAGACTACATAGCAAGTTCCTTGTCAGCCTAAGCTATATAGTGAGTTGTAGCTGTATCAAGTTATACAAATGGGGACTAGAGAGAGGGCTCAGTGGTTAAGAATACAGAGGGCCTCAGCTCAGTTCCTAGCACCCGTGTGGGGTGGCTCACCATTGCCTGCAACTCTAGTTTCAGACACATATCTCTAAACATAAATGAAAAAGGAAAACATTTTAAATGATTTTAAAAAACAATTAATAGGGCTGGAGAGATGGCTCAGCGGTTAAGAGCATTGCCTGCTCTTCCAAAGGTCCTGAGTTCAATTCCCAGCAACCTTATGGTGGCTCACAACCATCTGGTCTGGTGCCCTCTTCTGGCCTGCAGGCATATACACAGACAGAATATTGTATATATAATAAATAAATATTAATATATATAAATAATTAATATTATATTCTAAGGGGGTTATTTATTCATGCATGACTTTGCAAGATTATGTGGATTTTAGTCATTTAGGAACTACTGGTTCATTGAGTCAGGCAGCACACTCTGGGAGGTGTCTTCTTTCCGGAGTAGTGAATTGTTGCATTAATTTTTCAGGAAAAAGAATCCACTGGACATCCAAATCTAGGTAACCACAGTTTATCTGTTGAATCTTCTTTCAACTAAAAAAAGGCTTTCCATGAAAAAGTAACTAGTTTAACTCAAACTCCAATTACACATAGGCTTTCTTCAAGACAACCATCATGTTTTGCTCTGAAGAAGTGCTTTGTGTATATTTCAATTTTATCACACAAAATTACAAAAAAAATGAATACTTAAGGACAAATATTTAATAAAATCAATACAGTTAACATTTCAAGGCATTCTTTTCTAAAAAAAAAAAAAATGTGCGTGTGGTATGTCTGTATGTGGATATGTGCAGATGTGTGGAGGCCTGACGGCAAGAGAGCCCCTGGAGCTTCAGTCCGCTGGACCATGTGGTGCTGAGAGCAGAACTCAGATCCGCAAGAGCAGTGCAAGCTCTTCACCGCTGAGCCACCTTCCCACCCACCATCAGGACACTGGTGAATGAAGTGCCCTTTCCCTGGTGCTGCGGCAGTAAAGAGTATGAGGAAGAGCCCAGCTCGGCGCTGCTCTCCTGGTGTGCAGGAAGAAGCCAGCAGCTTCACCCTTCCTAATAAAAGCCCACAGAGTGTAAAGGGTATTATTATCATAAAAAGAGTTTCCTCCCCAATCTCTCTGAAAATGTCATAGGGACGCTGTAGGGTCACGGGCTGCACTGAGAAATGCTGAGACACGGTGACATGCACTTCGGCTGTGAACTTCTCACCTTCTGATTGATGACAACAAATCCTTTATTGGACTCGGCACAGACTTTCTGCTTCAGGTCTATTATTTTCTGCACTCTATCTTCAATGAATTTTCTTTCGGCTCTTACCAATTTCTCTTTCTCTTCTACAGTCTTATAAAAGAAACCAGAGCTCACTTCTCTAAAGAATTAATAAGAACAAGTTAGTAAACCAGGAATGGAGGCTAAGGCAAGAGGTTTACAAGTTGGAAGTCACCCAGAGCAACGCAAGTCCCTTTCTTCGGGGGGGGGGAAAAAATGAAAAAAAGTGAGTGAGGCGGGGTAGAAGGGAAAAAGAGATTACAAAACACCTTTAGAGAACAGGGAACTGGGCATGATGGCTCACATTTGTTATCCCAGTACTCAGGAGACTGAGGCAGGAGACTGAGAGCTACAGGTACGAGGCCAGCCTGGACTAAAAAGTGAAACTCCTATCGAGAAAAAGAGAGAGAGTGGTGAAAGGAGGTGGAAGGGGGAGGGAGACAGAAAAGATAATTTAACAATTGGGGTTGGAGAGATGGCTCAGGCTAAAGGGACCCAAGTTCAGTTCCCAGCAACATGGTCAGGTGGCTCACAGTTGTCGGCAACATCAGCTCCAGGGCACAGACGCCCTCTTCGGGCTTCCTGGGGCCCCTTTACTCCCATGCACATACCCATACACAGTGCATACACATAATTAAAAATAAATTTACAAAAAAGAAGACGGAAAGTTAAAAGAGTTTCAACGGTTATAAAGACAGACTGAGACGCACGTTTTCTCATACTCCAGTGAAACATTGCAAATGAGGATAAACGCATCTTGCACTTGCTTCTTCATGCTTGGATGACGGGCACCATGGTCCAAAACCAATCCTCGAATCAACCTATTAAAATACAAAACGTTTCATGGAATACACATTCTAAAATTAGAACTTCAAAAGCTATTCAAAACTGGCAACAGCCAGGACACACATTGTTTCCTAGTATAACTTCAAACCTAACGTATAATTAGTAGAAATAGGGAAAGAATCTGTTTTAACAGTGTGACTCTAAGTCAAAATGAAAAGCCAGTCCAGAATTATTCTCTAAGTTATACAGCTCAAAACAGGAATAGCTGATCAAATAATAAAAGGTAGGCACACAATGGATTTCTTAGGGATATTTGTTCAAAATAATTATATAGACTAACTAAAAATTGTTAACCTAAATGTCCAGCACAATAGGATATTGTTCAGCCAATGATGGCCCAGAAATTCAATGGTTATGAAAACTATGTAGTAACATGAAAAATATTTACAGGGATAGCCAATAACTAAAGGATAGCCCAGTGTGTATTATATGTCAAACATGATTGCAACTATTCTTTTTTTTTTATTGTTGACAGTTAAAAGAAAATGAAGCTTGGTTCACAGAGCACATGTCTAGCATGCTTGAGACTCTACATTCTTTGATTCCCAGGACCACAAAGATAAATATGTAAGAGCTGGAGAGAATGGCTCAGCAGCTGAGAACACTTGCTGCTCTTGGAGAGCACCTTTAGGTTCCCAGCACTCTTGTGGCACCTTACAACCAAGGGATCTGATGCCCTCTTCTGGCCTCTGAGGTCACTAGGCATGCATCTGATACACATACATACCTGCAGGCAAAACCGAAAATATTTAAGGAATGTCATCAGGGAAATGCAAATCAAATATTACACCTGTCAGAATGGCTAAGATCAAAAACACTGATGACAGCTTACATTGGAGAGGATGTGGAGCAAGGGGAACACTCCTCCACTGCTGGTGGAAGTGAAAACTTGTACAGCCACGTTGGAAATCATTATGGTGGTTTTTCATAAAAGTGGAAATCAATCTACCTCAAGACCCAGGGATACCATTCTTGGGTATATACCCAAAGGATGCTCAATCATTCCACAAGGACACCTGCTCAACTATGTTCATAACAGCATTATTCATAATAGCCAGTACCTGGAAACAACCTAGATGCCCTTCAACCTAAGAATGGATAAAGAAAATGTGATACACTTGTACAATGAAGTATTACTCAGCAGAAGAAAAAAAAACAAGGATACCAGGAAACATGCAGGCAACTGGATGAAACTAGAAAAAAATTTAAAGAATTATCTATTGCATGTGTGAGTGGGTCATGTACATGCCACAGCATACATGTGGAGATCAGAGGACAACTCTGTGGAATCAGTTCTCACCTTCCATCTTGATGAGGCATGCTCACTCCTATTGTTTCTGCCACTGAGCAACATACTCCAGGCTAGCTAGCCCATGCATGCAGCTTTTTACATGGCTTCCAGGGCTCAAACACAGGTCATCAGACATATATAAAGCTAACACTTTACCTGCCCTCTCCTTGCCCTGTAAGAATCTTTTTTGAGTATGTGTGGTGCTAGGGATTAGACCAAGGCCTGTTCATTTTAGATTATTTCTATCATTTAGCTCTACTCCCAGACCCTTAAGAATTACTTAGACCCAATATTTGCTATGTACTAAAGAATTACATTTTTAGCTAGGCAGAGTAGCACACACCTATAATACCAGTACTTGGGAGGCATAAACAAGAGGATTGCCACAAGTTTGAAGTAAGCCTAGTCTACACAGTGAGTTGTAGCTCTATTAGGTACAGAGTAAAATCCTGTTGAAAGGAAAGAAGGAAGGAAGGAAGGAAGGAAGGAAGGAAGGAAGGAAGGAAGGAAGGAAGGAAGGACATTTTTTAAAGTTCAACATAGATATAAAGGAATCTTCAAGTTTTGAATCTAACTAGAATACTCTAACTCCCAAATGAAGATAAAGACCTTATTTAGGAAAAAACTATACATTCGCTATTCTTTACCTTTCATGCTTACTCTCTCCTCATAGAAACCATCCCATCACCACCTCCACAAGTCCCCACCAGTCTCCAATTCTTCACAACAAAGAATTCTCCTCCACTCCCAAATCCCCTTCTAATTAGTGTCAAGTTGACATCAAAACCGACCGCAGTACACCTCGTCTCTCACCATTCTCTCCTGGGCTTGCCTTCATCTCTGCCTCTTTACTGAATCAATACACTGATCAATTTCCAGTTCCCAACACTATGCTTCAACACCATTGACTCTGCTGGGATACCGAGACACCACTCTTTGACTCCCCCCCTCCCTGATCACCCATTCTCCATCTCCATTGGTGAATTTTTAATCTCTTTTCAAATTCTAAACATTGAAGTTTCCAAAGTTCAGGGTTTAAAAAAACTGATTGAGTCAATATATTAAAATAGTTGATTCAGGCAGTTGCAATGGTAACTTCAGCCTCCACTCCCTGCTCAATAGTGATGGAAGTAATCACTTAACGATCTTAGAATAACTGTGTAAGTCATTCAGTTACCATAGATTCTTATCTGAAAACAATCCCTCTCTTAGAACCTGGACCACAAGGGGTTTTCTTGTAGTGATTACTGTTATACTAGATGTGAACTGATCCTTTCCTTCAGATTCTTTTCCTCTGCACCTCTGATCAAATCAGAAACATCACATCATGGCTGGTAAGGAGATTTGAATTTGATGGATCACCACTTCCAGTTCTATGGTTATCTTTCTTGGGTTTTTTTTGTGGGGTTTTTTTTGAGATTTGTTTATTATGTATACAGTGTTCTGCCTGCATGTATCCCTGCACACCAAAAAAAAAAAAAAAAGCATGAGATCTCATTATAGAGAGTTGTGAGCCACCATGTGGTTGCTGGGAATTGAACTCAGGTGTACTTTCTATCCTGTCTGGTCCTGCAGCTGTTCAATCTCAAAGAAACACATAGAGGCTTATATTAATTATATTGTTTGACCTATTACCTCAGGATTATTATTAACTAGCTCTCACAACTTAAATTAACCCATAATTTTTAACTTTGTTTAGCCACATGGCTTGGTTCCTTTTTTTCAGCTCAGCATTTTCATCTTGTTTTCTCTGCATCTGGGTGGCAACTGCAGACTGAGATGCCACATAGATGCCACAGCCTCGTAGTGATACATAGATTAATAGAAATGGGTTAATTTAAGATACAAGAGCTAGATAGGAATATGCTTGAGCCATTGGCCAAACAGTGTTGTAATTAATATAGTTTCTATGTGTCGATTGCGTTGGGTGGGTTACTCAGTCTAGGGGTTTGTAACCCACCCTGCAATCAGTTATTCCAGGGTCTCGGAGGGGCGCTACCTGGAAGGGAATGAGCTAAGACAGAAGAAGGAGGCCAAGCAGATTTGTCAAAGCCTCTGTTTATTAGGGACGGGTTACAGTTTATATATGGTAAGGAATGGGGGGCAGGGCACGGGATCTCGCCGCGTGGTCCCGGTCACGTAGGCCAGGTTACATTCGGACAGGTAGGCCAAAAAGTCACAAGTTGCCACACCTGGTTCCCTGGATAGCTGGAATGTGAGGCGGGTTCCGCTAACAGATAGCTCTCCATCAACAGCTTAATTGGATGTGAGGCAGGTTCTCAATAGAACATAATTATGGGTGTGGGGTTCTCTGCAGACTCCCCAGTGTGATGGTTCCTGTAATGATTTTTAGGGGGGAAATGGCTCGTGACATCTGTGTGGTTATTCGGGTTTGGGTGACCAGAAAAACAAAGGTGCAGTCTCTGTTTATGCTAAGGACCTCTAGAAGAACTGTCAGTGCTCTTAACCTTTGAGCAATCTCTTCAGCCCCCATTTTTTGTTTTTAATGTGTATACATTTTGTCTGCATGTAATGTCTGTGCGCCATGTACACGTAATAACAGCAGAGACCAGAAAAAGGCACTAGATCCCCTAGAACTAGATTTACAGACAGTCATGAGCTACAAAGTGAGTGCTGGGAATTGGACCCAGGCTCCTAGCCACTGTGCCATTTCTACAGCCCCCTTGCTGGCAAATTCAGAGATTCACTTCCACTACTCAGAAGAAAGTGTCGTACATTATATTGCTGGAGGAACATCAAAATGTAAAATTCCAAGTACAGGTTTCCTGAATGTGTGTCACCTTCACACCACTGTAAAGCTGAAGAACCATCAGAACCATCTAGAATTGTAAGCCTACTTTTAGACCCAATAAAAACACCAAAAGGTGAACAATGAAAGCAAATCAACATTTGACAGTGTGCCTCCAGCCAACTACAAGGAGAATAGATCTACAAGACCAACAGTGGGCAGAGGAAAATACAACAATGCTCCTTGTCTGAAGGAGGTTCCTCAGGTTCATCTCTGGTCTTGGTGACCCACTGTCACATCAGAGTTATATTAACAAGGAAATCTGTGAACTTGCAGAGTCATTCATGGAGGAAAAGGAAGGTGAAAACAAAGAAACTGAGCTGAATGTGTTAGCTCCAGGTACACAGGAAAGGGCCAGGGAGAAAGAGGGCTGAACACTAGCTGTACTATTTAGACAGCCACTGGGAACCCTGGAAAATATCTCCAGCAAGTAAGTGGGAGAGAGCTGCAATCTCAAGTGGAAGCTGAGATGTAAAAAGCCATAAACATCAAAGCAAGTTGGAATTATGAAGATAAATCTTTGCAAACACAGTATGAAATAGCAGTAGTTATCAAGTGGGATTTTAAAGAACAGTAACAATATGCTTCAGGAAGGAGTAAATGGGAATACTACCCAGAAAAGATATTAAGATATTAAGGGTAGACTCCTATAAGTTACTATAATTACATAATCTCTACTAATCGAAAAATAATAGAAGTGTGGAAATTTGCAGATTAGTAGAGGGGAAAAATACAATGATGAAGCCAATAAAATGAAAAGTCGATTAAAAGAAACATAGGACAATGGGAAATAAACAAAGTAAAAAGATAGATTTGAAATCAAATATACTCATAACAATGTTAAATGTAATAAATTAGTTATTTCAATTAAAATATAAAGACTACCCTATTAAGAATTTCTACTTGGCCCCATAGATCACTTACAAAAAATAATCTTCTAAAATATAAGGACAAGAAAATTGAAAGAAAAACAAAAAATATGACAGGCCTATACTAATAAAAAGAAAACTGGTGGGAACTGGAGGGATGGTTCAGGGGTTAAGAGCATGTGCTTACTCTTTCAGAGGACCAGGATTCAGTGCCCGGGACCCATGTGGTAGATAACAAGATTCTGACACCCTCTTCTGTGGGTGACACCCTCTTCTGTGTGGGACCTCCACAGGCCCCACCTATGCATATGTTCCACATACATGCATGCAGACAAAACACTCATAATATATAATTTTAAAAAAAATCTTAAATGAAAACATATTCATAGTTGAGTATATGCCTTTAATCCCAGCATTAGAGAAGCAGAGACAGGCATATCTGAGTTCACGCCTGGTCTACAGAGTTCCAGGACAGCTAGGGCTACACAGGGACACACTGTCTTGAGCCTCCCACACCACCCCACCCCCAAAAAAACCTTAAAAAGAGAAAACTGGTATAGAAACTGTATCAATGTGGAATAGATTCTACTTTTAAGACATTTCTAAGTACATCTGGTGGCTCAGGTCTGTAATCCCAGATACCTGAGTGGCTGAGACAGGGGAATCAGAAACCAAGGCCTATTTGGCTACAGAGTGATTCAAGGCCAGCCCTCATAAATTAATTAGATCCTATCTCATAATAAAAAATAAGAGAAGAGGGATGGAGTTATAACTCAGTAGTAGAGCATATGTCCGGCATATTCAAGAGCCTGGCTCAATCCTCAATCCTGGAATAAAAAGATATTAGAGAAAATATGGCCACTTAATACAGGCACAAAAAGTTCATTGTGTAAGGGACATACGCTATATTAAAAGCTGGCCACACCTAAAGCTGGGCATGGTGACAGAAACCTGTAATCTCAGCACTTAGGAGGCTCAGGCAGGAGGAGGATCCATTTTTGTTTCTCTTTGTTGAGGATAGAACTCAGGGCCTTTAAGATATTAGTCAAGAGCTCTATGCTCAGTTACATCTCCAGGCCAAGACAGTCTCAAAATATATAAAATTGCTAGGCATAGTGGCTTAGGCTTTAATCCTAGCATTCAGGAAGCAGGTAGAGCTCTGTGAGTTCGAAGTCAGCCTGTTCTACATAGTGAATTTCAGGATAGCCAAGGCTACATAGATAGACCTTATTTAATATGCATTTAACATATATGAAAGCTGTCAAAACTAAATCTATGGTGATGTTGTTATAATATCTAAAGATATCAACATGTCTCAGTAATTGACAAAATAAGCAGTCAGAATATCAATAAGGACACTGAAGGTCTGAACAACAGCACTAACAAAATTGATCCCTTGATAGGAAACTGTACCCCGCAACCACAGCATACCTTCTCTTTCAAGAGCATAAAACATTAAAAATAAATTCTTTTAAGTCAAGCATGGTAGCTCACATCTGTAATCCTAGGACTCATGAGACTGAGGCAAGAGGATTACTGTGAGCTTAAGGCCAGCCTGGGCAGTAAATGTAAAACTCTGCCCCCTGAAAAACAAACCATAAAATAAACTAATTAATTGACTCTATACTTAGGCCTTAACGCAAATCTCAACCAATTTCAAAGTAGTGATATATTATAGAATGTATCCCCTACCACTATATAATTAAACCAGAGTCAATAACTAAATTATTCTATATATTTTGAAATTAAGACACATGTTGAAAATTGAAATTAGAAAACCTTTTAAATGTATTATATTTTCCAACAATCCTCAGCCAGTTTGTCTGCCAGTGGGACCAAACCCACACCCTTAGGAAAGCATGCAAAGAAAAAAAACAAAAACAAAGCAAAACTCACTTTTAAGCCAACTTTTCTTGACAACAAATAGCTTCTGCAGATACAAAAGGAGAGGCAGAAGGGAAAAAACAAAGAGGAGACTGGCTGCGGCTTTAAAGCAGCAGTTCCCAGCCTGTGGATTGCAACCCCTCTGGGAGTCATGTAACAGATCTCCTGCCTATTCGATATTTACATTACAATTCATAGCAGTAGCAAAATTACAGTTATGAAGTAGCAAGGAAAACAATGTTACGGTTGGGGGTCCCCACAACATGAGGAGCTGTATTAAAGGCTCACAGTATTAGGAAGGTTGAGATCCACTACAAAGCAGATCAGCAGAAGAGTAAAACAAACAGGGGCAGAGAAGAATGGCCTGAAACCAGGGACCAAACAGGAGGCACTGTTCCAAAGGCAGGCTGCACTGCTGGGCACGAGTCATGCCTGTAATCCCACAGCTTGGGAAGCTGAGGCAGGAGGACTGCCACAAACTCCAGACCAGCCTGGGCGACAGAGACTTTGCCTCCAAGAGAGGTTCACCTCAAAGCTGTTTTCTATTACTCCTGTCTGCGCTTTTAACACTAATCTTGCCCTTAAGATAGTCCTGTTCTACCTAAACCACTCTTCAGTAAAATCTTTGGAAAGCAAAGAAGAAACTATCTTAAAAGTAATAAAATTCATATGCTTGTAATTTTGTCACTCCGGAGGCCAAGACAAAAGGATTAGTAGTTCCAGGATAGCAAGCTAGGAAGTAGGAGCCAGTCTCAAAGGCAAAAATAAATGAATAAAATAAAAGTGAAGGGCTGTAATTAAGTAATACCGAGGAAAGCAGACAATGAATGACCTGAGCGCTGCTTCAACAAAACAGAAGAAGCAAAAGGCTCCCACTCCCCATTAAACAAAAGTCAAAAAATTAAAGAGAAAGGCCTTATGAAACAAAACAAAAAGCCTGGGGAAAATGAGAGGGAAGGTGGGCAGAGAGAATGGGAGTGAAGTAAATCCTTCGAACAGGATCTTTATGACCATTTTGTTCCAAAATTTGAAGATTCAGAATAGAAAACCTAACTGATCCTAAGGAAATGATGTAAGCTGCATATGGGCTATGTAGATACTGTTTGTAGCCCAACCAAAATTAACCTCACTGGAAACACTCAAACACCAAAACTGAACTATGAATTAAATACAATAATATATTAAGGAGTCGTACTATTTTAGAGGTATATTAGTTAATATTGATAATATCTATATTATAGCTATTTCTAAATAAAGTATTTTAGGGGGCTGGAGAGATGGCTCAAAGGTTAAGAGCATTGCCTGATCTTCCAAAGGTCCTGAGTTCAATTCCCAGCAACCACATGGTGGCTCACAACCATCTGTAATGAGGTCTGGTGCCCTCTTCTGGCCTGCAGAGATACACACAGACAGAATATTGTATACATAATAAATAAATAAATATTTTAAAAAATAAAAAATAAAAAAATAAAAGAAGGGAGGCCGTTGTCTTTCATCACTTGCTCAGGACTTGTGTCCCCACAAAATTTCTTAGCTGAAGTCCTAACTAACATGA